CTTAAATGATGAGAATAGAGAGTTTATTTAACATGAAGAATCCACCAGCTGTTCCTCAGGAGAAGGATGGACAATCTCCTCCTGTGAAATTTACTGCCTTTGAAAACCTGCTAGGGGGCCGGCTGTGGATCCCAAGGCACGCAACAAGAAGAACCCAGATAGGAAGAGTGCACCGAACAGTAACCACTCCAGGAATGAGATGGACTCAGGTGACTTAAGCACTATAAAAACTATATATCCAGACATAGCTTGTTCTAGTGCTATTTATTTTTCACAACAACCCTGCATTGAACAAGTCAATTGGAGCCATGTTTCGTGTCTCTGCCATGTTGTGGTAATTACCTCATTATTTCAAACCTTTGTATGATGCTATCACACACCTAGTCGCCTGAAATAGAGTGGAGATATGACTTTCATAATGCACTGGGAAACAACAACAATACAGTTAGTTCCATGTGGCTCTTGCTTTATTGTAATGATTGCTTTATCAAGGTGATCTGGAAACCAACCCTCCCCATCTCCAAAGCATGACTTGGTTTAGTTCACTTGTAACTGCCTCTCAACCCTCGTGTACCCCACAGGAAGGTCACTAGTAGAGCCTCTTCTAATAAACTGTGTTTTGTTAGCTGACTCTCCCTCACACTTGAGGGTGGCAGGGGAGTGCCTGCTGTTGCTAACCTCAGGAGATTGCATTAAAAGCACAAGCAGAGAGTGAAACACAAGTACAGATTTCCTTGACAGAATTTTTATTGCCTTCCTGCCTGGCCCCCTTCTGAGGGGCATTGAAGTCTAGAATGATCCTCATTCCTTCTCCTTTCCCTGTTTCTCTGCTCTCCTCAAGTTGCAGATTGGTGACGGACAAAGAGAAGGAAACTAGCCGATTTAAAAGCTCCAAGCTCTGAAGGAAAGTCAGTTGCCTTTAATCAAGTGCTTAAGGCCCAGCTTATCTCAGGAATTCAGCAGAGTGAGATTTTAGAGGCAAATGGGTCTGGCTCCTTCTGCATTACGAAGATAAAACTTAAATCCATCACAAAAGGACAAATGCTGTGCAAGACCCCAAATACAAAAAGCTAGAGAAGGGTTTACACACAGAGAATCATTCTAGTATACAGCAGGTGGGGGAAATAATAGATAATTTAGGATCATTAATAATGGGTGAAGGAAAAGATAATATGGAATAAATGGACAGTCTGACCATGGGGGTATTGTAATTAATTATTGTAATTAATGCTATGGAATATTGTAATTCAGATTGTCATTAATAATTATAATAGTTATTATTAACGCATAAAAGATTCCTTTTAAAACAGCGTGCTTTGTAAACCTTCATTCATGTCATAATAGAAATTGAAGAAAAAAGTTGGCCGTTTAGGGAGCCAATTTGGAAGAGAAATCTGAATTAAAGTTGATATTTAAGTATTTTTGAAGAAGGAAAGGAAAACAAAAGACAGCATAAAACCTCTTTCTCATCCTAAGGCTTTGAAGCCACATGTAAGGCTCAAATATCTAGATATTTTATAAATGTCTTGGGGTGACTGGGTCTTTGAGTGTCCCCAGAGTTCACTGTTTGGCAGGTAAATGGACGGCTTTCAGATTTTTCACACTCCTCCCACCAAGAGGATCTCTGTCAGTCTCATTATGCCAACAAAGAAACTAATATCCACCATGGAAGAGAAAGACCCTAGCTCCCTGCTCGTAAACTGGTTAATGTGTGCAAAGGCTGAGAGCCGTGCTTGGTGCCTCCCAGTGCCCTCCGTGCTGGGAGCAGTGGTGACTCAGTGTCCACGTGGCATTCCTTGCATGGTCTTTCAGTGCGGCCTCGCCTGTTGCTCAACGGCTTCAGTGGAACTGAAAAATAAGCTAGATTAGGAAAGAAGGCAAGGGAATTTATGTATGGAGATCAGCCGGTGAAAACACCATGGGTGACAGTGGTCCAGGCTTCCAGAATCACCTGTCACGGGGCAGAACTCCAGAGGCATCAAACGCCCCTGTGCATGGGGTCACCTTGAGTCCAGGGTCAGCTCGACCACAGCTAACAGGACACAACCTTGTGCTCCTGTCGCAACTCACATTCAGCATTATGAATCCTCTTGCTTTACAAGGAACCAGCCCTGTTTTAGTTTGCAAGCCCCATATTCTGGGACACTTCTCAGTCCCAGGTATGATGAGATTGGTGGGCACCTACCAATCTACCCTCTACTGAAGACACTAAAGACTCTAAGTTGGCTTCAAACTGGGCAGTGTTAGATGTGTTTCCCTTGGGTTTTTTCTTTGCTCCGTTTCTCACTAGCAGCCTAAGGGCAGAGAGGAAAGCTTCTATTACTGTCACCATAGCTGGAGGATTCCACTCCTCCTAAACGCTTTGATAGACACAATCGACAGCTGTTGGGAGTCAGAAATGACCCATAGCCGACCCTCCAGCTTGTTTTCAGAAGCAGTAAGTAATCAATCAAGAAGAGATTATTGCCCATCGCACGCCTGTTAAACTGCTGGTGGATTTGAACTACATAGCTTCCGGTTGGCAGCGCAACTCTTACCCACTAAGCCACCAGAGTGTCCTATTGAATGAGGTGAGTTGTTTGAGAGTTTCATAGTTTCTTCCAGTTGATGACATTACCTTTCTCAATCTGAGGCATGTGGCCACTTGGGACTCTACAGATTACAAATGCGCTTTACAGACCGACAAGAATTTATTTCTCCTTCACAAGTTGTCCTCACTTCATGCTGGAATCCACCACTGGGGAAGACAAGGCAAGTTCTTGATTGCCAACCGGAAGTTTGACAGTTTGAACCTATGCAGGAGCGCTCCGGCAGATAAATGTGGTAACGTGCAAAAATTCAAGTCTGTGAACACCCTGTAGGACGCAGCTCTATTGAGAAGCACCTAGAATGACGGTGAGTCAGAGCTGATGACCTTGAGAGAGAGCCTGAGAGCCCTTACCTCGATGCTTCCTGTTCTCTCCTCCCTGCCCCACACCGTGGTGGGCTCAGCCCTCACAGCCCGACATCCCTAAAGGAAGAGGAAGCTACACTCTTTCCCTGGGCTCCCAGGTAAAACCAGCATTCCCCTCACCTGAGCCAGAAATCCCCAAGCAATGCATAGTAATCCATTAACGTAACTGTTAAGTGCAGTAGAGTCATAGATGACCCATAATGACCCTATGAACAAAAGTCATGAGCACAAAACTGTCATCTTTTCTCCAAATTCATAGTTACCTCAGGCAAGCTTTTTTTGGAAGTGGATGCCACTCCTGCTGCCAAGCCTGTTTTATTCATGAGATTCACACACACACACACACACACACACACCCCAAACAAACAAACAAACAAACAAAAAACCAGGCCCAGATTGGCAGCCCAAATCCAATCAGCTCACACCCTGTTGTGAGCAAAGCCACACTCTAGTATCATCCCTAAACCAGAAATCCATTAATAGTAATAAGTAATAGTTCTGCCTTACTGTTTCTGGGATTCACACCATCACTCCCCCAAACCTCTGAGCAGAAAGCACCGATCCCAAACCACTTTCCGCCTCTGTGGTTCAACGATGTCAACCCTGAGTGTGAGGGTGATGGTGGGGCGACAGGGACACCCCAGAGACCATTCCTGTACAACAAGTGTTTGCCAACAGACTTCCTGCTCTCTGGGACTCTGATGTCCCTCTGCTGGGCACTGTGTGCACGTGTGTGAGCCTGTCTGTGGCTTCATCTCTTACACAGAGTTCCTCCAGATGACTCCTCGTCAACCCAGCTCGCACACCTCTCAGAGCCCGGTGTGGTCACTGCCCCTGAGGAGCAGAGCAGCTGGACCTCAGGCCAGGCAGTCTCCTGCTGTTGGAAGGCTGAAGCTTTGCCTCTGACACTCTTCAAAAGCTTAGGTGCTGCTGGCTGTTGCGTGCTGTCGAGTCAGAACTGGCCCAGAGCTGCCTCTTCAGCACGTTTTTAAAGGCAGTAAATCCCATGGGAGGAGACGGCCCATCCTTCTCCCACAGAGCAGCTGGTGGATTCGAACCACGTGCCTCTGAGTTGGCAACGCAATTCCTTATCACTAAGGTGCCAGAGGAGGAACTAATTATGCCTTCTCCAAAGTGGAAGGAGTAGGGATCAAACAAATACCATTTGTTATGCATATTTGAGAACTTGACGTGAAATGACGTCCCCAGAAAGTTACGTCTAGAATGGACATGTCACAGTTCTCTAAGGACTGCAATTCTTGTCATTCCCATCAAAGGTAGTCAGAATCCTCTGATGGCTTACCTGTAAGGACCCGTGCTGCTGTGCTAAAGCCTGTGCCTCCCCAGCGGTTTGAAACCAGCAGCTGCTCTGTGGGACAAAGATGGGCAGTTTCCTCCCATGCGATCCCCAGCCCCTAAAACCCATTGGAGGATCAGCTATGAGCTGGTTCTGATCTCAAAGCAATGAGTTTGCTTCCAGAGGAAGGAATAAAAGGCTGATTTTTTTTTTTTTTCAATTAGCCCGGCACTGATTTCTTTAGCAGTAAATTAGGGACTTGGGGGGCTTGGGAGACCGGGATGAAGCTTCCTGCAAGTCTGCAAGCTACGATGGTGGCTGATGAGGTCCCGCTGTCCCGTGCCATCCAGCTCAGGAGAGGGTGGCGGGAGGTAACCTGATGAGGAATTCCACTGACTGATTTCAGTGTTTTATGCTAACAGCTCACGTTTGCCACTGGTTCTCAGGGGCAACAAATAACAATTGACTCCCAGGGCCGTGTAGCCTATGTTGTTGTTCAGAAATGAGGGAAATAACTCTGAGAATTACACTGTGAAATCAACCCAGAACCGTTCTGTGTGGAGAAAGGGGCAGAGGGGCTCAGCGTGACGGAGGTGGCTGGGAGCAGGGAGGTTGGCTGGAGATGGGAGAAGGGCACATGGTTTCTGAACTCCTGCTCCAAGGGATGCCTCACCCTGGGTGCCCCCCCAGATCTAGCGGCAGGAGGGCTCCCCTGACTGTGCACTTGCTCTTGCCCCTCAGGTAACTCACGGGTCCGGCTGACGTGGTCCACTCCGCTGTCGCCGCTGCTGCCCCCGCTGCCCGGACCTCTCAGCTCCCGCTGCTGTTTGTCTGGCCGGAGGCCCCAGCGGACTTTCTGCAGTCCGGGAAGTTGTCCTTTCTGGTCTCTCTTTCTCTGAGGGTAGCTGGAAACTGGCAGGCCCATGCTGAAGGAATGGTAGTCTGTGGGCACAGCACAAACGTGGGGTGCGTGGGGGAGAGTTACAGAAAGACAGCGTTCCACTTTACAGTGAGATGGAGCACCAGCAACAGAGGCTGGAGGGGCCTGGAAAGGGCCTCGTGCCCAAGGTTGAAGCCGATAAGTGGGCTACAAACCTTGATCATGAAGACTGTCAGAAGCCTGAGAAGACAACTGGCATTTGAAAGGTTGTGACAGTCTGGGAAATGAAACTTGGGGTTTGGTGGCAGTTTCTTTTTAAAAAAAAGAAAAATGTTTTACCTTGTGATTTGAGTTAGTTTTTACAAAGCAGACGGGTATTCATACGTATCTGTTATACATTAATTATAATCTCCCCCTTGAATCATCACTCTTTGTATTATAGGTCTTGTTACCATTCACCTCACTGTCCTCTCTCCTACTTTCTGAGTTGTCTCCTTAGACAAATTCTGCCTTTCGGAGTCCTGTGTGGCTGAGCGTTCTAAGTGGTGCGTATTCCTGGTGTTCATGTCTGTTACTTGATTGAATGTCATGCCAGGGGGTCAGGTCAGTTCCAGAGTGAGAGGTGGCTGAGGGCTATGGTCTCTGGAGTCCCACCACTCTCTGTCAGATCAAGTTCTGGTCTCCATTTGCAGCTCACCCTCACCAGGACTGGCTGGTCTGTTCCCTTTCAGAACGGTTTGCAGTGGTAGCTGGGCACCACCCAGTTCGTCTAGGCTCTCAACGTTCTATTCTTAACTTGAGCTTGCTTTCCTGCACAGAAGGGCCGCCTCTTCTGTCTACCTTCTGAAATGCTGTTGCTAGATGTCTAGGCCTTCAGTGGTGGGAGAGACCACACAGAGATCACGCCAACCTGAGCCGCGGGAAGTGTGCTTCGGATCTGTGTAGGTCTCTTAGATATGTGTCCTGTGTTCCCTCCGTGCCTGGTGCATCAGTCAGCACTGAGAGGTCGGGGACCTTGACGTCAGGACCCACGCCTCTCTGGACCCCCCTCTTACTTTATCTGACCCCACCACACGTTCCCCTGGACCCTTAGCCTCTCCTGAGTGTAATGAGAGCAGGGAATGACAGGTGGAGAGATTTGGGTAACAGCCTCGCTCCCCAGTGGACTGGTAGCAGAATAGCTCTTTCCTTCTCTCTCTTCCCTTCCGCGAGGCACCAGCTCTCTTGTCCTCTACTGCAGCTCTTAATTTTTACCTGAAGGTGAACTATGAAAACGAGCATCCAAAGGTGGAATTGCTCCTCTTTAATCAGCAATTTTACCATAAGGGCATAGCATATATAAGTCGTCCAGTGATAAACTCCTATTCCCCTCTCTTGAGACCAGAAACGGGCCTGAGAAGGCACAAGTGTCTCAGAAACACATCTCCCTGAGTGACAGCTGATCCAGGTCCTCCCTGGCGTGACCTTCCCTAGTTCTGTGACCACGGCCACCCTGTCTCTCTGGGACTGGGGGATCTTCATCTGGATGGTGGGAATGAAAATCTCTTCCCCACTGACTGGGCAAGGTTTTTTAAGAAGATAGAGTGGGGTCATGCACAGGAGACTAGAGCGAGGGCTACATGGTGGAGGGGACCTGGGGGAGGGTTTGTAAAACAATGAAAGAATCTTTTCTTTTACTTTTCCATAATTTTTGGACTCATGTACTTATAACTTGTTAGTCAAATTTGTGTCTTCTAGGTTGCAACACCCCCATGATACATCTTCAAGGATATGAACATGTACGGCCAAGCACAATCAATAAGAGTGCATCTAAATTCCAAACTAAATCTCCATAATAGTCTATGTGTTTCCTACTGCCAAAGGGGCCCTTTAGAGTAGTGAGAGAAGATCTTCACCCTGAAACCCACAGCGTCCCTTTTCAGCAGGAAGTAGCTAAGAGAATACGCCATCCCCTTTTCCTTATGACTCAGGGTGAAGTCTCTCTCAGGGAGGAGTGATAGGGAATGACAAAGGACACACTGACAAAGAAGATTAATCAGAACTGGCTTTGACAAGCACTGTGGCATTTGGACAAGAACAAACTGGGAGGAGGGTAGAGAGAATAGTGCAACAATGAATGAGTGGAAGCCCAAAATCTCTGTAAATGTTTATGAAAATTAATAAAATATAATTATAGAAAAAAAATAAAAATAAAAAAAAGAGTGGGGTCATGTATGGAAACCTGATTTTGACTCTCAGAAGGGGCTATCCATGCAAAAGGGAGTCCTGGTGGTGGGACAGTGGTTAAACATTCAGCTGCTGGCTGGAAGGTGGATGGTTCAAACCCACCGGGCTCCCTGGAAGAGAAAGCTGTGGCAGTGTGCCTCTGTAAAGATTACACCCTGAGACACTCTAGGCCTGTTCTCTCTGCCCCTTAGGACCAGTTGGAGTCAGAATCAACCCTACTGCAGAAAGTAGTGTTCCTTCTTTTGATTTATATACACACAAGGAATCCCTGGACACTGCAGATGGTTAAGTGCTGGGCTTCTAACGAAATGCCTGGAGATTCTAATTCCCCAGAGGTGCCTGGGAAGAAACCACGGTGATCGGCTACAGACAGCTGCAACCTTACAAAACACGGTTCCCCTTGTAAGGTGACATCCACGTGATGGCAACTGGTGAGGTTTTTTACCTTATCGTGCCTCAGACTATTGCTACTCATGAAATCAGAGGAGATTTGAAAAAGAAGTGATCCGTGAGATAGTTTCACTCCTGCGCTGGTTTTGGCCTGTCCTTTTCACCCATCCTGTCTCTTCTCAAAGTCATCACTGAATGTCTCTGTGTCTCTGTCTCTGTTTCTCTTTCTCTCCTTTTTTCTCTCTTATTTCTATTGTGTTGTAACTGACTCACAGCTGACCCTCCCCAGTGGGTTTTAAGAGGCTGTAATTTGTACAGGAGAGACAGACACTCAGACGGCTCAGTGGTAAGGTGTTGCACTGCCAACCCAAAGGTACACGGTTTGGATGCACCTGCCGCTCCTTGGGAGACAGATGGGCAGCCTCCTCCTCCCTTTTGGTGGCTCTGAAAACCCTCTGGAGGGTCTGCTGTGGATCAATTCCGACTCAACGACAAGTGACAGCATCAACAAATCCCCCAGGCGGAGACTGGCCACCTTTCTGCGGAGGGTAGATTGGTAGGTGCAGACTGCCAAGAGGCCCATGATGACCTGATGACTGCATGCCTGCATCCAGAGTGGCAGCGAGGACGCTTTCGCCACTGAGATCGCAGATGGACAGGGGGCAAGTGACCCAGGGGGCAGGGACACAGAGAGGGGAAAAAGCCTGCCAGAGAGGTGGCACTTTAGGGTTAGCCCAGCTCCCTCAGGGCCAACCCAGAAGAGCTCCCTAATAACCACAGCAGCATGTTTAACTGGGGAGCTGTGGGGAGGGGATTCCTGCACTGTGGACCCACCTCTCCTCTCATTGCAAGCATCCTGCAGAGTTTGGCTCAGGCCCTGTGTGTCATGTCCTCCTAGGGACTCCACACAGCCATTCTCTTGGAAGGTGACCCCTGGTGGATCTGTGTACTCTGCAAGTGTCCAGCTGGGCAGAGAGCTTAGGGCTTTCCATGGAGTGGGGTGGAGACAGCGGCCTCCTGAGCTTGCCCCTTCAGAAGCCCTGTGGCTACTTCTCTGGTCAACAGTTGTTGGAATGACAGAACTAGTCCCACTCAGCACCCTCTGGCATGGTTATAACTCTGCTACTGGTTTGGGAAGGTACTGGGTTTCATGAATCTTGCAAGATGAAGTGAGGGTGTTGGGGGAAGCTGTGAGCTATCCCCAGCCCAACCCTAGGGTCCCTCCTAGACAGTGAGGGCTCAGCAGGGGACCAGATGAAAGGGTCCTAAGGTTGTCCCTGGAGTTCAGTCGCTCCTGGGAGGCTCCTGGGATCCACAGGAAAGGGCCTTACCTTCTGGATACTGGCTTCTCCTCCTGTAGTTGCTGGAGTCCAGCTTTTTAACCCCGACTTTCTCTTCCTCTGCCTTCATGGCTGGAAAGAAAAAGAGGAACTAATGTCAACACGTGGATTCCAAGGAGAAATTGTCAAACCTACAATCCTGGTTGGAGCCTTGACACAAATTAAAAAAATTAGGATAAAGATAGTATGAACAAATTTAAAACCAGTTATGTGTGTGTATGTACATGTATGTGTGTGTGTATGTGTATATGTATACATGTGTGTACACACACACATATATACAATTTAAAAAGAGAACACATAGACTAGGTCATAGAAAACCATCAGTAAAACATCAAGAACTGATGCCTTTGAGTTATTGAGTTGTGGTGCTGGAGAAGAGCATTGAACATACCAAGGACTATCAAGAGAACTAACAGTTCTGTCCTGAACAGGGTGAAACCAAATTGCTCCTTGGAGGCAAGGATTTTGAGGTTCTGTCTCGCATACGTTGAGTGTGTTGCCAGGAGGGACGAGTCCTTGGAGAAAGACATCCTGTGTGTTCTTTTGGCAGTCCATGAGATACTCACTACTCCTCTCCAACACCACAACTCAAAGGCATTGATTTTTCTTCCATCATCCTTATTCATTGTCTGATGCAAAGCAAGTGATTGCGAAGACCATGGCCTGAACCGGGCACACCTAGTCTTCAAACAGACATCATTGCTCTTCGGCATTTTGGAAAAATTCCTAACAGTGAACTGTCCCGGTGCTATATGTCTCCTGATTTCCTTGTTGGTACCAAGTGTGTTCATTGTTGATCCAAGCAAGATGAAATCACTGATAGCTTCAATACTTTTCCTATTTATTATAATGTTGACTCTTGGTCTTGTGGTGAGGGCCTTTGTTTTCTTGATGTTGACATGTAATCTACACTGAAAGTTGTAGTCCTTAATCTTCTGCAGCAACATTTCAAACAACATTGTATCATCTGCATAACACAAGTTGTTCAGTCTTCCTCCAATCCTGATTCCACCTTCTTCTTCATAGAGTCTTTTTTCGTGAATTATTTGCTCAGGTATGGAGAAGGGATGCAACCCTTATGCACACCCTTCCTGATTTTAAACCCTTTTTTCTCAATGTGAACCACACTTTGTTTTGATCCACACAGTCTTTGCATAGTCAATAAAACACAACTTAGTGATATCTAGCAAGTATCCATCTGACATCAGCAATATGATATGCCTGGTGCCACAGCCTTTTCCAAAACAGCTTGTACTTCTGGGAGTTCTCTGCCTATGTACTGTTCTAGCCACTTTTGAATGATCTTCAACAATATTTACTTGCATGAGATATTAATTATATTGTTCACTAATTTCCACATTCTGTTGAACCCGTTTTCTTGGGAATGAGGACAAATGTGGATCTCTCCAGCCAGTTGGCCAGATAGCTGTCCTCAAAATTTCCTGGCATAAACTGGTGAGCACATCCAGGGTTGCATCTGTTAGTTGAAACATGTTAGTTGGTGTTCCATTGATTCCCAGAGCCATATTTTTTGCCAATGCCTTTCACGCAGTTTGAACATCTTTCATCACCATTGATTCTTGTTCATCTGGTGCTTCCTGACATTTTTTAGTGTCAACTAATTCTTTTTGTATTCTCTTTGTATTCCTTCTTTTAATTTTTCAATCCTTCCTGGATCATTTAAGACCATTCCCATATCATCTCTCAGCCTTGCAACTTGAGGCTTGATTTCCCCCCCCCCATTTCTTTCTGCTTGAGAAATGCTGAGTGAGTTCTTCTCTTTTTATTTTCTGACTCCAGTGCTTTGCGCATTTCATTACAGCATTTTGCTTTATTTTCTCGAGCTGCTTTTTGAAATCTTCTGTTCAGCTCTTTAACTTTAGCATCTCTTCCTTTTGTTTTGACTTCTTGATGTTCTAATGCAATTTTGTTTGTTTGTTTTTCCATGTACCACTGAATTGAATCTGACTGGTACGGGAGGAGATGGCCCCTCCTTCTCCAGCGAAGACTCTGGTGGATTCGAACCACGTACCTTCGAGATTGCAGTGCAGCTTCTTGCCACTAGGTCACCAAGCTCTGTTTCGAATGCAATTTTCATAGTCTTTCTGACATGCATTTTGTGTTTTGTGTTTTTTGTTTTTTCTTTCTCCTCCTCCTTTGTAATGATTGGTCTGCTAAAGACTTTATGAAACCTCTGAGACTATGACTCTGGTGGCTGTTAGGAGCCAGGGAATCAGTTCTGGCTCAGATCTACCCTATAGAGAACACAGAGAAACCCTGGCCTCTGCTGTGCCATTGTCACAATCTCTGCCCTGCTCAAACCCGTCACAGTCACTGTGTCCACCCTCACTGACTCCATCGCCTTGAGGGTCTTCCTCTCATTCACTGGCCCTCCACTTTTCTAAGCAATCTGTTGTAGTGGGTGATGGTATTGACCCTTAGTCCCCCTTCAAACCTAGAATTTAAATCATCTCTGTGACTCAACTTCCAGGCAGATCTATAGGTTATCAATAACAGCTGGGAGAAGTGGACTCCTTCGAACAACCACAAGATCAAGGGCAGCACGTACCTAGACATAAAGTGTAGGAGTCCAGTACTGAACATTCTACGAACGCCAAGAGAACCGATAGGGCTGTCCTCATTGGACACAAGGGTTTTGAAGTGCTGTCTCACATACTTTGGGCATGTCACCAGGAGGGACCAGTCCTTGCAGAGGGACATTATGCTTGAAGGGTAGGTGATCAGTGCAGAAGGGTAAGGCCCTGAATGAGAGGCATTGACATGGTGACTGTAGTAATGGAGTCAGGCATGTCAGAGTTGATGAGGCTGGCTCGGGGTAGGGCACAGTTCAGAGTCATTGTTCATAGGGTCAAGGAGGGTCTTAGTCAACTCAGTGGCACATAACAACAGCAAAGCTTAGGAGGAAAGCAGGAGGAGTAGAAATGAAAAACACAAGAGGAAGTGAGAAAACCACTGGAACAATGTGGAATTATAATCAGGGCCGTGAATCATAACGGATCAATTGAATGGAAACCATAATCCTATTGCTCCGTAAACTTTCTTTCACATCAGTAAAAAGTTGGGGGAAAGGGACTAGAAAGAGCACAACATAGAAAACTCAAGCAAGAGGGATCTCTGGTGGCCTAGTGGTAAGAAGCTGCACTGTAATTCCAGAGGTATGCAGTTCGAATCCACCAGCTGCTCTGCTGGAGAAGGAAAGACAATCTCCTCCTGTACCAGACAGATCCAATTTAATGGTACACACACACAAAAATAATAAACTAAAGAAAAACAACTCAAGCTAGAAGAATAGAAAGACAAAAGCAAAAAGCAATGAAATACCAGACGGGTAAGCAGTGTTGTTGTTGTTATGTGTCTTCCTCCCTCTCCAAAAGGCAACTTCATGAAATTATTTCTAAAACTGGAAAACTATTTTCAAAATGAAGGAGGAATAAAAATCAGAAGTAAACAACATAAGAAATGAAAAAGGGACACAAATGAAAATGTAGGAAGCGAATCGTCAAAGTACAAAAGAATGCCGGTACATTTTGGGACTTAGATAGCAGACAACTAACAGCGCTGAGTGTTATGGGCCAGTCACCGGGTTAAGTGTCTTGCATGAATGACTTATTTCCAGCTTCTTGCAAAGCAAGTGAGATAAGGAAAGTCCTCTCATTCCACAAAGAGAAGACAGATGAGAGAGAGAAGGGAAGCCATGAGAGACAGGAGGGCTTGATGCACCAGTTCTTCCACGTCTACATCTCTGGGATCCGACTGAATGCCCGTCCACATCGTCCCTCATGACTTTATACTAAGTTCTCCTTTTCACTCTTCACTTGATGCCATAGCAGCTAATTGGATCCAGATAAACACTAAACAACAGTCACTTACTACAACAGAACTTGTATTAGACCTTTGGCTAACCCCCAGATAAATAAATCCCACTGCTGGCAAGTTGATTATCTCCTAGCAACCGTGTGAGACAGAGCAGAACTACCCTACTGGGCCTCCAAGGCTGGAGTCTTTGTGGGAGTAAGTTGCCAACTGGTGACCTTGCTTTCAGCGGACAAGCTCTGGACAATCCCGGTACCTCTGTGGTTTAGTTTTCTCTTGAGAGTCTATTTCTCCACGTTGCCATTCTCTTGTCCATCTTCAGCTCACAGATCACCTGGCTTTGTGGGGAGGGGCCAGACCACATTGTCTTTTCTCCTGAGTCATTTCACTTCCTCTTCCTAGTTTCTGTCCCTGCAACCAGCCTGGAGTCACAGCTGGGATCCCTGAGACGACAAAATCCTACCAACAAAACCCACACTCCAAATCCAGAAGTCTAAGGGCCTGGGTTCCTGTCCTGAAGCAGGGAGTCAGGGGAACAACTGGCTGTGTGGACATAAGCACATTTTTTTTACAATAAAAACATTAATGGCTGAACCATTTGCAATTAATTCCTCCCCCCATCATCCACAAGGAGACATCAATTCAATTCAACAAACAAATTGACTATCAGCTTTGTTCCGGTTGTTTGCACCCGACAGTGAAGCAAGCAGAACAAATTGGCTCGTTTTTAAGGGAGAGAAGCAAAGTTTTCGGATGAATCCTCAAGATCACACATTCACGTCTCTGGAAGGAGGTGAACTAGGATAAGAGGGGCTGGCTGCCGCATCGGTCAGTTGGTCAGGTGGGATCTTTTATTCCTTCTCTGACCAGTTAAGCCCTTTGATCTTCATGCCTGAGAATGAGGAACCACTGAACCCCTCCGGCAGCCCACAATACTTCAGAAAAAGATCTCCTCGAGCATAACAGACCTGGGATTCTTTTGTGAACTGAACTGACAAGAACAACAAGAAGTCATACTGGGCTTTGAAACGCTAAGCCAGGAAAAGGGTGCCCTCCACCCAGTGGTTTATCCATTGCCTCAGGAACCTGCAGACAGGACCACCCACACAGTCTGCCCCAAAGGAGAAAGGAAATAAAACAAGACGCCCCCAACTACCAGTAATAAAACCAGGCACTCCGTCCAAGACCCAAAAAACAAAAGCATGTTACAAAGTGGATCTCATTACTCAATTT